ATATATGTATAGTTAGTATAAGTATATGCATTTTACTACGCTCGTATGTATGTATGCCACTCATTGGCTACTTCCTGATGTTTTAATCAGCGGCTGCCTGTCTGACTGTCTGTTTGCCTGACTGCGCCGATCTGGATGCTGCTGTTGTCGCTACTCCTTTACCGCATATGCGCGCCTATCGGATCGCTTGCCCAGTTGCTGCTGCAGCTTGTTAAATTAATGACGCAACATGACTCTGCTTGGCCGCCGCCAAAACAGAGGCGTGTACATTTAATAAGATTTATTAGAACATTCGTTATTGGTGCAGCGGACTCCGGTTGGCGTATACTCCAATTTCACGCGACTTTACAGTGCAACGTGGATGAGGTGGAAATGTGTAGCAATATCCTCTCACTTGTGTAACTCTGCACCAGTTGCAAGTGGCTGGTGAAATGTTGCGATAAATTGTCAAATTAATCGCTTGGCCTCTTTCAAATACCCCTTGCTTTGGTGTCTTGTAACGTTTTGGTGGCGGCGTTTGCGCATTTTCCTTTTTCTTAAGGGAAATTGGTGGCAAAGTGCGCTATTAATTTCGCTCTTAAAGATGTTTTCGTGCAGATTATTGACGTTCAAGATACACGAGCCGATGGATTCGAACTTTGGTGTAATTAAAAGTGGGCTAGCGGCTGGCCAATGGAGGATCTGTTTGCTCTTTTTTGAAAGGTTAAAAGTAGTAAGTGAATGCGCTTTTTCTGTCGCAAGATTAGTTTTCAATTATCTGAGCAGCACGTATATACTTTAGTAAATAATTTGTTTGAACTTTGGGTGGATCCTAAAAATGCTCTATATTCCCATATCTCAGTTCACTAATAATTACATAGTTCATATTAATTTCTATTGATTCATAGCCAGCTATAAGATTTCCTCGTTTACAAATTAATAATTAGATAGCAATTGCTGCAAAACGATTAGTATTTATTGAATACATGTAATCCTATTGAATGAAAAATGCTGGCACATGACAGCCGAAAGATGATGAATTGAATCACTGATTCAATTAACGTGCTTCAAAGTACTAACAAAGCTTACCAGGCGGCAATTGTCGGTCCTCCGGGTTGAGTAAAAAACAAATGATGCCAGGTATTTAGACGGCAGCTGCGGCAGTTAAGACCCGGGCTGATATATAATTTATTAGCGTGAGCTTCAATTGGATAGCCTTCTGTCAATACACCCACCAAAATTTAGAGTTGGAGCTGTTAAGGAGTTCCGTTGATTGTCCCCGGTCTCCCATCGGGCAGAATGATCTTGGGTAGGATAGAATTCACTATGGTTTGATATATAGAGCCAGAAAACTATCTTAGGAAATTTCTCTTGGCAATTTTTCACAATTTACTCAGAGTTATACTCTTTAAATCTAAAGTACTTGGTTTTTTCGGAAAGCCCCAGGCGATCGCATCCATATGAGGGAACGGTCGCATGTTTATCTTATACAAGACGAGACCCATGTTGCTAGGATTTAAAAAAATACAACGTCCGCGAACCACATACTTGCCAGCTGCTCAATAAAAGCTCATGAAATAGGTGGAAGGAAAAAATAATAAGAAATTGATATGGTACATTTTAATTTTTGGTTTTCATTGTAATGCGACAGCTACTCAACGACGGAGCCGCCCTTACGTACTTGCCGTCCGTATCAACGATTAAAATCGCTGTTGATAGAGAGAGATAGAAGCAACGACAACATCACCGTAATGCGGTGCTGAGTTTTCGCTAACAAGAAAAGCCGATCTACGATTTTACGTCGGTTGGTAACTGCGCCCTTACAGAAGGTATCAGTATGGGTAGAGGGAATAGGAGGGAAATGAGATAGCGGACTGTCTTACAGAAGAGGGAGTAGCTATAAAACCAAACAGCCTCTTACTGAGCTTAGGTCCCAATATCTTACGGAAGAACTCAGGAAGGAGGGGAACCCATTGAGGTATCTTAACTGGCGTAGCTCAATATGACTGCGTCAGGCAAACAGTTTACTGGCAGGGCACAACATGAAGATATTGCAACATCTAATCAGCCTCCCAGAAGAAAAATTTGGCATGTTAACAGGTATACCTAGGTAGGATACTGTGGACCAAGATTGTACATGAATAGGTTGGGGATATATGTCGCTTTGGGCACGTGAGAGAGGTCAAGAGAAATTGTCTAAGGGATTGAGGCTTATTAGAAGTGTTGTGAAGAGAAAAGGGCACAATAGATTATTAGGTCTATAGATACGTTTCGTCAGCCTTATCCCACTCGGTCGTCTGTAGTTATATGCATGCATCAGATAACTTAAATTCATATAGGTTATTATATCGATGACTGAATAATATCAACAACGATAAAAATGCTGTTAGTGATAGCAGTAAGGATACAAATTTTGTATAACGTTAACAAAATATATCTGTGGCCATAAACAATAACCGCCTAAGTCGAAAAACATGAATTCGAGAAAAACGTTTTAAACATTTGCATTGTAATATTAACCTTATGGGGAAATCAAAATATGTTAATCTATATCTTTTTAAATAGCCTAGATGGCGAGATGAGGATTTCACATACACATGGAATATTTAGTAGTTCCAGAATACGATAGCATATATAACTCAATTCTTTCTTAAGTCGACTTAAACGTTTATTGCTTATGACCACAGATATATTTACATTTATGACGCCGATAATACGATAAATGAATTAGAAATGATAATAATATCGATATTCAAGAAACTATCGATAACAAAAGTAATGAAAGTGAAAAATTTCAGTTAAAAAAAAAAAAAATAAGGTAAATATTGCAACGTGGGTGTCGGAAAAAGAAAGTTTAATAAGCTAAAAATATTTTTGAGGAGGGTTGCCAACTGCTTGAAAATTTTAATTTAATAAGCAATATAAATTAGAAAATTGCATGATTGGTTACAAGTTCAACAAGTTTAAGAAGGCTTAAAGCTAAAATTTTTGAGCAAAGCTGCCATCTTTTGGAGGAATTGTATTTGCTTGAATTGATAGGATAAAATAAATATCACAATATGGTTATCAAGAGGCTTAAGAAGTTTACTGTCGAAAATATTCTTGAGGCGGGTAGCCGCCAATTAGAGAAGTCTAATTCAATTGAATTGCTGGGATAAACTTAATGTTGCAAAGTCGGTTCCAAAGGAGGGGTGTTTGATCTGAATATTTGGTTCTGAAATATTTTCAATTGAGCTGTTACTTATCTAAATAGTAAAAACTAAAAATGAGGAAATTAACTGAAATATTACAAGATTTGTACCAAATGAAAAGTGTTTGAGAAAGTATTACTAGATGAAACGATACGAGTAAATACAAGTACATACTCGATACTACCGATACGAAGTTATTTTGTATCCATCGCAATCCGATACTAAGGCAAATTTTGCTTGGGAATTTCTTCTCCACTCTGGTTCCTAATACGATTCGCCCTGGGCTTTATGGCTGCTTAAGTCAAAGAACATAGGAAACTAAAGAGGTGCATAGTAGTAGAGTGTGTTGTTAACCTGCCGACGTAAAATCGGAGACCGTGCCAGCTGACACGACCAATCTTGTGGGATTTCCGTGTTAACGCAAACTCCCTGCCGCGGACGATGTCCTTATCAATGTTCGTAATGAGAGAGAATCAAAAATAATTCGATTTGTTGATACGGATGGCAAGTAAGGAAGGGAGCTCTGTCGGTGGGTAAAAGCGCACTAGCTCTATTATTATTGGCACTGAAAACACTAATGGAGACTACCTCTGTTATCGAAGAAAAGAAACAAAGAAGAAAAAGAGTAGGGTACAAAGAGTTGACTACAAAAAAATAAAAAATTTTTAGAAAAAAAACCAAAATATTCAATGGAGCCCATAAAATTTAATTTAATTGCCATCTTCGCATTTATGTAGTGTGGAGAAATCGATATTACAATTAGAAAAATTATTTGGAAATTACTTTGAAACTTCGAAGTAGTTTTCAAGAAATCCTGACGTAAGAAAAACGGTTTCACACCAATTTCGTTAAGTTGGCGGTTTCTTGTTTGGCAGTTATGCTATAAAACACCATTTATTTATTTTCAGTTCTGCATTATTATTTTTTACTAACTTGTGACTTGTGAAATTAATAAATTTAATTTAGTGCATACGGAATACCTTCATTGCCAAAAGCACCGATACGAGTAGGTATCGATACTTTAGATCCGATATTTTTCAGGTATCGATACTTTCTTTCTACTACTTTTGGCGATGATAAATAAAACAAAATAAAAGCAAACGAAAATGAGTTAGATTTGTTTTTAAGACCAAATTCTGAAAGCGTCGCTTGATTGATCATAGGTGTAATGAATCTTCGATTCTAAAAGAATACTTTTAGCATAGATGCTCTATGTACTAGCACTGTTTTCACTTGTTACGGGCAGTTATTTCGTAAAAGAATTTTTATTTTTTTTTGGCTGGAAACATCAAAAGAAAAGTATTGCCAATCCTCCGACTGTTATTTTCCATTTATACCGACTTCATCTTCTCGGCGCCAATTCGGACTTTATAAGAAGTCAAACAAAGGCATTCCCTTCACCCTTGCCCACATAAATATGTACATATGTACATACACAATCGTATTAAACATCGCTCCATTTTCCTGCTGGTCAATGAGCTCATTAAGTGTTTTGTAAGAAATTCTTTAGCAAGAATTTTTATAACAAGTATATTGATCCGATCCGCTGTTTTGCCACGTTTTATTGCGATTCAATTTCGCCATGCACCGCCGCTATCTGCAACTGTAAATTGTTGGCGTGCGGCAGTAAATTACTGGAGACATATTAGCGTTTGCTTAGATTTATGAGGCACTCGGCAGCAAAACGACAAACCAGAAAAAGCAAAAAAAAAGAATATTGAAAAAATTGCTTCCTCTCTATTTTCAACTAAGTAACTAGTAGCAATGTTCTAACTATAAATGCAGCCTTTCTTATAATATTTCCTTTACGTTTCTTCTATTGCAGGTGATCGCAAGTGATTGGAGGCAATTGACGAATGGCAAGCGCCATCATCAACAAGCAGCAGCTGCTATTGATGCTGAAGTAGCGATCCTCTCAATACTTACGTATATCCTACAGCAGTAGCACATTGCCGCTGCCATTGCTCTTGCCTGGCTGTGGTGCTTGTCAATCACGTCGAAGGAGAATTGACACAAAGTGATACGAGTGAATTGGCTGCAACAAATGCAGTATAAACGTAGTGGTTAGATACGCTGCTGGCGAGGAAAATGGAAATGGAAAATTTGGTATGTTCTTGTAGACTATCTATAATGCAATGGAGAATATGTATGGCTATCTGTTTGTATGCTTTCTTGAAACTACATAGGTACTTGTAGGCTTGTTTGCTGTTCAGATCGACTGCAGTCAATGCGAGCAACTGTCACTTCCTGCTTGCAGTGTGGCCTGCTAAGAGCGGATGTGGTGTGGTAACCAGTTGTCCAATTGATTGTTTATAAGCATACTATAATTCTACAAACTTTTCTTTAGGCTTTCTTTGAGTAGCGCTCGTATGCAACTACATACAATATTTACTCTAATAAGTTATGAAACTTTGCAAATCATTAAAACCGTAAATTTTTCATGATTGGCTTTGATTGAATTATTCACGAAAGCTATTTAATTTAAATATTTTTTGTGCAGAGTTTAATTAGCAAACACTAACAAGCATTTCGATAAGCTTCGTTTAACACTTACTAATTGTTCTTCATCAATCGCTGATTGTACAATGTTGCCACAAGAAAAAGTAAGCGGGTGAATTAAAGTGAAAACTAACAAAAAAAAAAAAAACAGTTGTTAGCAATATTAGTTGGCTCTTGAGGCATTAAAACTTGAAAAAAAGAACAATTTCAAAACAAAATGGAATGCCGGAGAAAAACTGATGAACAAAGCGATATTTAAATGCGGTTTGTGGCTGCTAATAAGCGGCGAGAAATGAAAGTATTAGCGCTAAAAAGAAAGTAGAAAAAACCTTAGTAGAAGGGCAATACAAAAAAAAAAAACTTTTGTACTTTATGGCTGTCTGTCTGTCAGTTATCAGCTTAAAAATGAGCCAAAGAAATTTCTAATGTGCTAATGAAAGAAAAATAAATGTAGTTCTATGCATTTGTCTTTATTCCGAATCCGGCATCAAACTCAAAAAACACCGTTAAACAAATTCTAATTAATTGGCGTTGGTTGTTTTTCTTTATTTAAAAGGCTTAACCTCATCATAATAAATAGTGTACAAATAATTAATCATTATTTGTGGCAAAAGATTCGTATTCTTCATTGACAACAAAGCAGCATTAAGTCATAACTTCGTTAACTGGCAGACAACACTTGCAGAGCAACTGAAATGGGGAGACGAAAGAGCAAATATAGTACAATGTGTACTTAAATAAGTAAAATGAATGCCGCTGTAGCCGAGTGGTTAGTAAAATTTTTTTCTAATAGCGGTCGCGCTTCGGCAGGCAGTGGCAAAGCTTCGAATGTATCTCTGCCTTGAAAATTTTCTTTAAACACCGATTGTCAGTGCTACATGAAAAATGAGCTCACGACCCAATTAAGTAGTTATTGACACGCTCTCTCTAGAACCTCTGATTATTATTTGCTGTCACGATTCGTTGGTACATATCTTCAAAATTTGACTTTGACTTGTCGACTTGGATCACTTAGAAATTTAAGGAACCGAAAAAATCTTCGTTATGAAGGATTTTTATTTTTGAGAATCATTGCAAAATCGTAATTTTTTTATGCATATTTTACGATCATTTTTAATCGTTATAAGTTTTATTTTTCAACAATTTTTATTGAGCTTGAGGCCGTTTTTAATGCAAACCTTATTGTGGAAAAGCAACAATAATTTGAAAAAATTGTAGAAGTGATAGCTATTTTGTAAATCACCACATTTCCTCATCAGACTTCTTTTAGTAGGATTCGAACCGACGATCCCACTGACTCAGCCAGTTGCCGACGCACTGTGCTAAGTTCGCCTTGTGAATTATGGTGATTTCCGAAATAGCTATCACTTGTACCATTTTTTCAAATTATTGTTGCTTTTCCACAATAAGGTTTTCATTAAAAACGGCCTCAAGCCCAAAAAAAAATGTTTATTTTTTCAATTAAAAATAATCGTTATCGTATGATTTTTATTTATTCGATAATTTTTAATCTTTGTTTTGACTTTTATTTCTTCGATTAAAAATTATCGTTATTTTAGGATGACTATTTTTTCGATCAAAAATAATCGATATATATTTCCCTTGGATTTTTATTTTCCGAACATTTTTCATCGTTATTTTATGATAATCTTATTTTTTCAACCATTTATAAACCGTTATTTTCAGATTATTATAACAGTTAAAAATGATCGAAAAAATTAAAAATCTAAAATAACGATTATTTCTGATCGAAAAAAATTAAAATCACAAAATAACGATTAAATTATAATTTTTTTTTATAAAAATCATAATGGTTCTGGTCTCTGAGAAATTAACTTACGATTTTACATAAAAGATTTGCCTAGTATCAAAGATAATGTACCAAATTCTTCAAGATTACTGCTACGACACCGAAGGTTGTATGGCAGACCCCATTTTAGCTGCATATTTATCCAGGGGCTGGTACTATTCCGTAATCGTTACTGTTAATCTGACTATTCCTTTTGTTGACCTCGTTAAGTCGTCTTCCGTTTTCGGTTTGATTTTTCATATTGCGTCATACGACTCGTTATGTGTGGCATATGTTTCTATCGTCGAAAACTCAGATGACTGCGATACATATGAATCTGTTGCTTTCAGCTTTCGGTATACAATCAGTCATTGACCAATTTGGAACTGGATATTGGTGATGGAAGATGCAAAGTTGACCTGTCCTTAATATATTCAAACTGAGTTATGATGTTTTAAAGTGTCCCCTTAAGTGTTCGATAAGCATGTCGAACAGTCTTTCCATTCCTTTTGCTGTTCGTGTGTTCTTCCGTCCGGTTCATAAATAAAAACAACTTTGACTCTCATTTAGCTATGTGAAATGCATGCCAGGTTGTCTTTGTCGATTCTTTCTAACCAAAATACCTTTAATTTTTGCAAAATCATCGGTGCAATCTCATCTCATCTGGGCTTTTTTCTTATCCGCGAACGAGTCAATTAACACGCTTGAGGTTTGTATAAGGACCGTTTGATGAGGGTTTATTCAGCTATAATTGCCCATACAAAATCCTCTCCTCGAATAAGACTATAACTGGCGTGTTCTTTGGACACATTTTTTCTCAGACTGGAAGAATCTCTATAGTTAGCTATAGGATAGCGATAGGATTTCCAGGATTTAGCCCTAGCCTTCTTTACTGTTTTTTATACATCATTGCATCTTTGTTTGGTTCCTACAATTTTGCTTTATTGCAGTCGTTGAAAATTTTACTGAGTTTAGACTTGAGTCCCTAAGTGAATTTTTGGGGTTTCGCGAGATTTTTTCACTGCCACTGAAATTTTTTTCGAAGCTTTTCGGGATCCTTTGGAATTTTTTCTGAATTCTTTGGGATTCCGCATGCTTAATTTTGTGAATTTCCTTTTTTAATTTTTCCGTATTCTTCGCGTTTTGTTTTACGGAATTTTTTTGGGACTTTTCGCGAAATTTCAGCCTCTAAAGTGAATTTGAGTCTTATCTTTGTCTTTTTAAAAATTGGCGCAAAAATTGTAATTTTGAGTATAAATATCGTCTCCTGAAATTCAAAAGGCCTAACTAACAAAAGGGCAAAATTCAGTTTTTTGATTAATATGCAAAACAAACATTATAAGTGGCCACATTTTACATTTCAGGTAAAGGTATGTATGTATGTCTTGACTTAGCAGATGGAATCATTCGTTTCTTTTTTCTATATACTTTTTCCCTAGTCTGAAAAATTTCGCGCTCTGACACATACCGCTAATTTTTTTAATTTCATTCTCTCACCATATAGAATACTTTGTATTTTTTTACTTTTCAAAATATTGAAATACATTTCCTCTAACCTAACAATATATGTATATAAGAATATACATACATATATATGTATGTATAACTGACATGTACAATTGTAGCTAAAATGAATTACCTCCGCTCCATCTGCTCCATTCCCGCCCGATTGCGTATCTAAACAAACTGGTTTACACAATGATTCATCAAGCATCCGTCACAGAAAAACGGGCATAAACAGGCTAACAACAGGTAGCTGACTGAAGGAAACCAAAAACAAAAACAAGTGCGGAAACATATACCATTAAACACAATGCCGGCGAACGGCGAATTTTTCGCTGCGAATGTTCACTGTAAAAATTAAATCAGACTGACGTATATGAGAACGCACACAACCAAAGGAAATGACGCAGTTCGCTCGGTGACTTATATTTTTCTTTTAGAGACTAATTTCCTAAAACGTTAGTTTAATAGAAGTTATATTACTATTTCTACATTTGGAGCTTATTCCTGCTGGTATTAACCTATTCGTTATAAAAGTTTCCTTTTTGAAATATGGTCACCTTATCAGCTTTCTGAATTGAATAACGCTCTATATGTATTTCAGTAAGCGAATTAGCTGGGCGAAAGTTGGACGTAGACATCGCTTTGCAGGGCGAAATTCGCCGTTCGCCGGTATTGTGTTTTAACGGATAGCAACAATAAAAAAGTAAAGAAAAAAAGCCTTTCAGCTCACAAAGTTGTTGTTGGTTAGTTTAGTTTGCCTGGTGGCTTACATACTCGTACGACTGACACGACCACCACAATTACATCCGGTAATTTAATGTAATTTTAGATTTTTCTCATTTAAATCGCATGCAATGGAAAATATTCGTAATGTACAAATATACATACTACGTACATAAGAAAAGAGGAACAAGTTGAAAAAAACAACAAAATAGTGTATATTTGTTTATTGAAATGGATTTGTGTAAAGTGAATGGCTCATACATACATCCATACATAAGTAAAAGTAAATATGCCCGGCAGTCAGGCAATAATAAAAAAATTAACATCAAAAGTGATAGGCGAGTAGTATTGATATTGGTATATAAATTGTGTTGAGAATGGCACACAAATTGTGGTAGTTTCTTGCGATTCAGCAACAGATTCGTACATATGCACACACAATTAAAGCCGGGCTTTCAACCGTTATACAGCGGTTACCACTACACTACATAAAGATTTTTTTTTGGTAAAACGAAACAATTTAAAATAACCAGGGATCGAGAGCAAAATGGATGATGGAAACTCAATGTCGTTCTCTTCAAAAACAAAA